CCCCCAAAAAAAGTAGGGGGGCCCCTTGGTAAAACCAAAGGGGGGAAAAACCATAAATGTCCGGGGCCCAAAACTGGGTTTAAAAAGCCTCCCCCTCAAACATTTGGGGAATTGCCAATAAACCCCCGGCCCGCCTTCAAGAGAGAGGGACCGTTTAAAAAAGTCAGTGCCCCGGGCAGCCCGGGGTGTTTTGGGCCCTACGTTGGGCTGCGGGCGGCCGCAGTAAAAGCCTAGTGGGTCAGGGCCCCGATCCATCGGGGGGGGGGTGGCCTGGACCGGGCCCCCCGGGGCGTTTTTTCCCCGGGAAAAACCCCAGGGAAAACCCCCGGTATGTAAACCCCCCAACACTTTTGCAACCATCAACACTAAGTACCACCAACGTATGCAGTCGAAAAAGCTACGCTACCACGAACACTTTTCAACCACCAAAAATTTTGGGTACCACCAACACTTCGCTAAACCCCAAAAAAATGCAAACCCCCAAAAACTAAACCACGCCTTTCAAACAACCCCAACACTTTTCAACCCCCAACATACACTACCCCTCAAAAACAAAGCTTTCCACTAACACCCCGGGCCCTCAACACTAAAGCTACCACCAACAAATGGTATCACCAACACTATACAACCACAACACAAAGCTACCATCAAAAACCCCATTTCTACCACCAAAAAGTATGTAAAACCCCCCAACCCTTTTCGCACCCTCAACCAAATAAGTTACCACCAAAAACTATGCAACCCCTCAACATACGTTTCCATAAACACTATGGTACCACCAAAATACTCTTGTCCCCGATGGGGGCCCGACCACCTCAAAAAATTAAGGGTGATGGACTGATTACATCTTTTTAAGTATTTCTGCTTTTATCAAACTTTTCTGTACTCGACCCGAAGAAGCCCCAAATTTGTTGGCGGAAAAAGTTTCGAAATAAAGATACCTAACTGTTGCATATGTTCAACCTAACAACCCGCGGTACTTTTTACCCTTTTAATGTTCCCCTATTACCACCAACACTATCAACCACCAGCCCTTTGCTACCCCCAACACTATGCAACCCCCCAACACTATTCTACCACCAACACATGCAACCACCCCGCACTAGCTACCCCCAACCTATGCAACCAAACCCAAAACTATGCAAAACCAAAAGCACTATTTTCCCCACCAACACTGCTACCACCAAAAACTATGCTAACCCCCCAACCTATGCAACCCCCAAAAACTAAAGCTAACCCACCCATACGCTACCACCAACCCTATGAACCATCAAAAATTATTTCAACCCACCAAATACGCTTTTCCATCCAAAACCCCACCAAACCCCCAAAACTATGCAACCACCAAAACCCCATACCACCACCAAAAACAAAGACATATCCAAAAATTTTTGCTACCCCCAACAAATATCAACCAACCACTTAAAGCTAAACCCCCAACACTACGCTACCCCAAAAAACTATGCAACCACCAACCCCTATGCTAACCCCCCAACACTTTCACCCCTCAACCTTGCTAACCCCCAACACTATGCTATGCAACCACCAAAACATTTCCCCAACCCAAAAAATCATCCAAACAAAAACTAAAGCTACCACCAACCCCTATCAAACCCCCAACCTACCCCCTACACTAACACTAGCAACCCCCAACACAAAGCTACCCCCAAACTTACGCTAAAACCCCCCAACAAACGCTACCACCAAACTGCAACACCAACAATTTTCTACCACCAACACCTTCCGTACCCCAACCCCTATGCTAAAACCCAAACCCATGTAACCCCAACCCCTTCCTTTCCATCAACCCCTTTGCTACCAACAAAAACTATGCAACCACCAACCCCAATAGAAAAAACCAACACAGCTCCCCAACACTATGGGACCACCAACACAAAGCGCCCACCCAAAACAAAGCGCCAAACCCCACCCATGCCAAACCCCAAAACAATGCAAAACCCCAAACCATGCTAACAAACCAAAACTACGCTGGCCCCCCAACACTATGCTACCCCCAACAATTTCGCTACCTTAAAAAACTATCAAAAATCAACACTAGCTACCACCAACCCTTCGGGTCCACAACACTATTCTACCACCCAAAACTACGCTAAACCCTTAAAAACTAGGGTAATTTAACCCCTTTTTGCAACCCCAACCATCACCCCCAAAACTATGCTACCCCCAAACTATGCAACCACCCAAAACTATTCACCCCCAACCTACGCTAAACCCCCAACACTGCAACACCAAAATACCACCACCCAAAAAAATAAGCTACCCCCCAACAACCCATGCAACCCCCCAACACTATATAAACCCCCAACACTACCTACCATTAAAACTATGCTACCATCAACACCCATGGGAAAACCCCCAACACTATCACCCATCCAAAAACTGGGTACCCCCAACACTATGCAACCACCAAAAACTATGCTACCACCCCAAAGCTTTCGCTACCACCAACACTGAACCCCCAAACCTACCCCTACCCCCAAAAAATAAGCTAACCCCCAAAACATGCCCCAACCAAATTCCCCTACCACCAACAATAAGTACCCCACTACGAAACCCCCCACTTGTACCACAACAAATACCTACCACCAACCTATGCAACCCCCAAAACTTTCCCCTACCACCAACACTAAAGCTAAACCCCCCAACACTATCAACCCCCAAAAACTACGCTTTCCAAAAACACCCAAGTACCCTAACACTATGCAACCACCAACACTATGCAACCACCAACACTTCGCTACCACCAACCCAACCCAAAGCTACCAAACCCCAAAGCTGCCACCAACACTAAAGGGAAACCCCAAACAAAGCAACCCCAAAACACATTTTACACCAAAAATACGCTGCACCAACCACTACGCTAAACCCCCAAAAACTACGCTACCATTAATACTAAGCTACCCTCAACACAAAGGGAACCACCAACACAAAGCTTCCATCAACACTATTTCTACCACCCAAAAACTTCGCTAACATTAATTTATGCTACCATCAAACTATGCAACCCCCAACACTAGCACCCAAAAACACTATGCTTCCACCCAAAAATGAACCACCAACACTATTACCACCAAAAACTAAAGTACCACCAACATGCATTGGGTACCATCTTCTTTGCAACCACCAAAATATGCTACCCCCAAAAACTTTCCCACCACCAAACACTTTTCAACCTCAAAAAACCTTTTGCTACCCTCAACACTATGCAAAAACCAAAAAAAAACTAAGTACCAACAACACTATGCTACCACCCAAAACTAACCAACATTAAAAACACTACCACAACAAATATGGCAACCACCAACACTATGCACCCATCAAACCCATGCTACCCCTCTACAAATTTTTCCCAAACCCCCAACACCCATGCTACCACCAACATAAGCTTTCCCCCAAAAATAGCAACCCCTCAACACTATGCTACCAAAACGCTACGCTACCACCAACACTACCCCCCCCCCACCAACACTATGCTACCACCAACCCTTTTGCTACTACCAAAATTATGCAAAACCCCCCAAATACCCGGGTTTCAAAACTAGCAAAGGGCCTATGGTTCTGCTGAAACCAAAATTCCCTTTTAAATTTAAAAAATTTTCCAAAAATTTAAATTTTGCCCTGTCAAAAAATTTCCCTTTAAAAACATAAATATTTTAGTTTAAATTCGCGATTTCTTTGGATAACCAAGTAACACTCGTTGTCAAAAACCCATAAATGGAAGCGATATTTAAAATTTATCAGCTTCCGTTCGACAAGAACAACGGGTTTTTAAATTCCCGTTTTAAGAAGGTGAAAAAACCCCGGGGACCCCTGGTACAAATTTTTATTTTTTTTGTGTCCCTTCCCTCTGCCCGAAAAAAATTCAAAACCCCCGGAAAGGGGTTTGAAACCCCCTTTAAATGGAAGGAGCACGGAAAAGAGGGGGGTTTAAAATTTTTCCTTTGACCCCCTTTTTATAATACCAAACTACACCTTTAAAAATAAAGTGTAAAACAAGTTTTTTAAAAGGGCGATACGGGGTAACGGGTCGAAAGTGTATTATCAACCGGTAGAGTCAAACTGCCCAAAGGAGGGGCGGAAAATTGCGTTACATGAGATGTGGGGGGGGATGAAAAACAGAGGGCCCGAAAATTTCCCGCTAGCCCCACGGTGTGCCAAAAAAGGTTCTTGCCACCAAGGCTAGCTACCCCGTTGCTTGCCACCCGGGTTACTAGTATCAAGGGTGACAAAACAAGAGCCAAAAAAAAAGTGGCAAAAGCCCCACGGAAAAGAACGCAAAACCCCCAAAGGGGGGGACACAGGGAAAAAGCGTGTCGTTGGGTTTCGCTAAAAACAACACTAAAAAGCCTGGACCCCAACGGCAAGCCCTTTTAAAAGACGGGCATGACTTTCCCAATCCACCTGTTTAGGAAAAAAGGTAAAGGAAAAACCGAGGTGCTTCTTTCCATGGCGTAAAAAACTGGAGAATTTAGAGAGGAGTTTTCACTCATGCACATGTCCGCGGACCGCCGCTTTCCCCGGTGGGACCGCCCTATTAACTAAAAGTTAAAATTAAATTTTTTACGTGCGAATTTTTTAAAAATTTTAACCCAAAGGGAAAAATAGTCCCATGATATGTGGCCGGTGCCCCTTCCGGAGTAACCCCGAAAACGCATACATTTTTTTTTAAACTTCTTCTTGAGAAAAAATAATTTTTTTATATAATCAACGCCAAAAAAACATTTTTTTAATGGCTAAAAAATGAAAATTTTGGGCTTATTCGGTTTTCACACACATTGCTGGATATGTGTATGGGGTGCCCAATGGGGCAGTCTTTTAAAGGGGCAGATCACTGCGGTATAAAGCACGCAGTGAGGGTGTTGTGGATAGAGTGTAAAAAGGTGACTTCCTCGATCCCTGGGGTCCATATGTAGTGCCTCTACACCCATTTGGTATAAAAGAACTTTATATCTGAGTTGTTCTAAACTTATTTCCTTCTACTTCTTCTCCGTAAGTTGCGTATTTTTATATTTATATATAAATTTCCGTGTCTTCGGAGAGGTTGATAAAATAGTAGTCAATTTTGCTTTGGGACTGCTCTTTGCCTTCGTTATAGGCAGCAACTTCAGGCTGGGGAGGGCCTACATCTGCGTCACTCTCTGCAATCTCTTCACCTCCTTTGGTACAAGAATCATAATGATGTTAATGCTTCGCGAAATATTTTACTTTGCAGTTCTGTAGTTCCAGAACATAAGAATATTTTGCGATTCGTACGTCTGTTTAGAAAAATTTATTCATAGCATGATGCAAGACAAGCTTTTAAGAGAAAAACGTTTGTTTGTAGTTAAGATAAAAAGCATTCAATCGTTCATACTGATGTACCGCAATATGATTGGACTGTTCATCTAAGGAGTAACTTTCAGTCAAAAAGCTTACAAAATGCATATGGAAATGCTACGCCGTATGTTAGAGGGTCTATTCAATAGCTTGAAAATATGCAATGAAAACGTGCCGAACATCGCTGATGAATGCATTCGCGGAGTTGAGGATTTGATTCCTAAATGCACTGTAGCGATACCTGCTGCCATCTGTGCACAATTCTTTCATGCTGTATCAAGTTTGGGAAATTTGTGGCCTCATTAACGTAACAACAACCGAGCTTTGTAAATATCCTAAATTTGTTATACAATTCGTCGAGGAATTAAAAAGTATTCCATTAGCAGCAACGCTTCTCGACGATGCCAGTAACGATTTCGACATAGAAATAAACGTTACAGCTCGGTTCAACCATACCATTACGAGTTCCATGTCCACAGAGTCATACGTAGACGAAATTTTCACCCAACTAAATAAGTACGTACCCAGCGAGGAGACTGGTACTCTTATGTTCCAATACATTAAAGCTGTTCTAATGACTTTGGCCTTTCTTGAAGGTTTCTATGTTTTATATAGATTCAAAAATTATCTATATTACAAAAACTAATGCATCTAATCAAGGACTTTTCGACACTAAGAATACCTAAGGCAATAAAGAGGATTTCGGACAATCCTTCCTCTAACAGACTTTGACAAAGACTTATTCCAGGAATATTTTTACAGTTTGCCTCCTCACATATCGTAGTTTTTGGCAGGTTTTTTTAAACATTACTGGACTGTCCTCCTGATGGCTCCTATGCTACTGGTCTGTTATTACATCAACGAGGTCTTAGGATCATTGTTTGGAGCCGTTGAAACTTACATAAACAACGCAGTCGTCCGAGAGAACCCCAATAACACAGTAAAATATATGGGATCAAAATTTGAAGGCCCTGGGATATTGCCCGACTGCATGAGGGCTTACTAGTAATTGTTCATCCTGTTTCTTGACTCTTTTAAAGAAATAAATTATGGTGAGTCAGCCATCAAATGCACACCAGCATTTATAATAGTCCCCAAACAAGAGTTCATAAGGCTTTTTAAACTTCTCGGGTTTCTGATCGCATTCCCCACATTTCGCCTCATTTATGACAGAATAGATCACTACATATTAGAGGCATTATTCCCGGAGTACAAAATACCACGGGCAAGAAATTTGATAATTAGGATTCAGAACTACCGTTACAGAAACATGTATGAATATATGTATGCCAGGAGGATATACCTTTCAAGTGAGATAACCGTCAAAAGAAGGACGAAAATTTTAAATTTTATCAAACGATTTTTTTATAGAATGTTTGGTAAATTTAAAGAGTACCTCATAATGGAGTTTACAAAATACGACCATGTCTGCACCCTCTGCTACAAGCGAATGCCAACAGCTACAGCCACATTGTGCATCCAGCCTAACTGTGGCACAGCCCTTTGTAAAGAATGCGCTGACGTGCGCTTTAAATATTATGCTGGAAACTGTTGTGAGTGTGGTTACCCAATGTTCCTGGTGGAGCATGTAGACTGTCTACCCCGGCTTAGTCCCACGCGATCTCTATTCGAGGAGGAAATTGAGGATGAGGTAGATGATGGCCTCCCTAAGCAGCTGCCCAAGAACGACTGGATGATGCCGAAGACGAAATGTAAAACTTGTAAAATAAGAATTGTATTTGACAGACAGGATGTGTGTTAGCTGTGTCGTCAAGGAGGTAAAGTGAGTGAGTTTGATCCACAACCCTATGAACATTTGTACAAGGCGCCAGAGGATCCCTTCGCAGGATTCCATCCCCACAAGATGTGGTATGAAGAAGAAACGGGTTCATTTAAGTCGGAACGTTAAGATGCACCTTGAACAAAGCAGACGGAGTATCGAGCATTCAGCGCTCAGTGAGCTGAGTAACTCTCAGCGTTAATGTTTCTTATGATAAACGAGTACCGTTTATAATAAGAAACAATATCTTATGATAAACGAGTATCATGATAAACAGTATCCTGTTAAGATAAACAGTATCGTGTTATGATAAACAGTATCGTGTTATGATAAACAGTATCGTCTGATGATAAACAGTATCGTCTGAAGATAAACAGTATCGTCTGATGATAAACAGTATCGTGTTATGATAAACAGTATCGTGTTATGATAAACGAGTATCACGATAAACAGTATCGTGTTATGATAAACAGTATCGTTTATGATAAACAGTATCGTGTTATGATAAACGAGTATCACGATAAACAGTATCGTGTTATGATAAACAGTATCGTTTATGATAAACAGTATCGTGTTATGATAAACGAGTGTTATGATAAACAGTATCGTGTTATGATAAACGAGTTTGGGTATCTTTATTCTGGAATAAAGTTACACAAATGTTGCACAAAGTCTCGTTAATCAACTTGTCGGTTTACTAAATTATATATTCATAATTATTTCATATAAATGTATTATTATTATTATTATTATTATTATTATTATTATTATTATTATTATTAATTATTAATATTATTATAACAATGATGGAATTTAGGAATAGCGTTTCCTGAATAAGATCTTTTATGGTCGGGTAACTACTGTTGACTGGTTGTACAGTGTTGACTGGTTGTACAGTGTTGACTGGTTGTACAGTGTTGACTGGTTGTACAGTGTTGACTGGTTGTATAGTGTTGACTGGTTGTATAGTGTTGACTGGTTGTACAGTGTTGACTGGTTGTACAGTGTTGACTGGTTGTACAGTGTTGACTGGTTGTATAGTGTTGACTGGTTGTACGGTGTTGACTGGTTGTACAGTGTTGACTGGTTGTACAGTGTTGACTGGTTGTATAGTGTTGACTGGTTGTACAGTGTTGACTGGTTGTATAGTGTTGACTGGTTGTATAGTGTTGACTGTTGTACAGTTGTTGACTGGTTGTACAGTGTTGACTGGTTTGTACAGTGTTGACTGGTTGTACAGTGTTGACTGGTTGTACAGTGTTGACTGGTTGTATAGTGTTGACTGGTTGTATAGTGTTGACTGGTTGTACAGTGTTGACTGGTTGTACAGTGTTGACTGGTTGTATAGTGTTGACTGGTTGTACAGTGTTGACTGGTTGTATAGTGTTGACTGGTTGTATAGTGTTGACTGGTTGTAACATGTGTTGACTGTTGTACAGTGTTGACTGGTTTGTACAGTGTTGACTGGTTGTATAGTGTTGACTGGTTGTACAGTGTTGACTGGTTGTATAGTGTTGACTGGTTGTATAGTGTTGACTGGTTGTACAGTGTTGACTGGTTGTACAGTGTTGACTGGTTGCACAGTGTTGACTGGTTGTACGGTGTTGACTGGTTGTACAGTGTTGACTGGTTGTACGGTGTTGACTGGTTGTAGTGTTGACTGGTTGTAGAGTGTTGACTGGTTGTACAGTGTTGACTGGTTGTACAGTGTTGACTGGTTGCACAGTCTTGACTGGTTGTACAGTGTTGACTGGTTGCACAGTGTTGACTGGTTGTACGGTGTTGACTGGTTGTACAGTGTTGACTGGTTGTACGGTGTTGACTGGTTGTATAGTGTTGACTGGTTGTACAGTGTTGACTGGTTGTATAGTGTTGACTGGTTGTACAGTGTTGACTGGTTGTACAGTGTTGACTGGTTGTACAGTGTTGACTGGTTGTATAGTGTTGACTGGTTGTACGGTGTTGACTGGTTGTACAGTGTTGACTGGTTGTATAGTGTTGACTGGTTGTACAGTGTTGACTGGTTGTAGTGTTGATTGGTTGTATAGTGTTGATTGGTTGTATAGTGTTGACTGGTTCTATAGTGTTGACTGGTTGTATAGTGTTGACTGGTTGTATAGTGTTGACTGGTTGTATAGTGTTGACTGGTTGTATAGTGTTGACTGGTTGTGTAGTGTTGACTGTTGTATAGTGTTGACTGGTTGTATAGTGTGACTGGTTGTATAGTGTTGACTGGTTCTATAGTGTTGACTGGTTCTATAGTGTTGACTGGTTGTGTAGTGTTGACTGGTTGTATAGTGTTGACTGGTTCTATAGTGTTGACTGGTTCTATAGTGTTGACTGGTTGTGTAGTGTTGACTGGTTGTATAGTGCTGACTGGTTGAATAGTGTTGACTGGTTCCATAGTGTTGACTGGTTCTATAGTGTTGACTGGTTGTGTAGTGTTGACTGGTTGTATAGTGTTGACTGGTTGTATAGTGTTGACTGGTTGTATAGCGTTGAGTGGTTGTATAGCGTTGACTGGTTGTATAGTGTTGACTGGTTGTATAGTGTTGACTGGTTCTATAGTGTTGACTGGTTGTGTAGTGTTGACTGGTTGTATAGTGTTGACTGGTTGTACAGTGTTGACTGGTTGTGTAGTGTTGACTGGTTGTACAGTGTTTACTGGTTGTATAGTGTTGACTGGTTGTATAGTTTGACTGGTTGTAGGTGTTGACTGGTTGTAAGTGTTGACTGTTGCAGTGTATGACTGGTTGTGTAGTGTTGACTGGTTGTACAGTGTTGACTGGTTGTATAGTGTTGACTGGTTGTATATGTGTTGACTGGTTCTATAGTGTTGACTGGTTGTGTAGTGTTGACTGGTTGTATAGTGTTGACTGGTTGTACAGTGTTGACTGGTTGTGTAGTGTTGACTGGTTGTACAGTGTTGACTGGTTGTATAGTGTTGACTGGTTGTATAGTGTTGACTGGTTGTATGGTGTTGACTGGTTGTATAGTGTTGACTGGTTGTATGGGGTTGACTGGTTGTATGGTGTTGACTGGTTGTATAGCGTTGACGGGTTGTATAGTGCTGACTGGTTGTATAGTGTTGACTGGTTGTATAGTGTTGACTGGTTGTGTAGTGTTGACTGGTTGTGAAGTGTTGACTGGTTGTATAGTGTTGACTGGTTGTACAGTGTTGACTGGTTGTGTAGTGTTGACTGGTTGTACAGTGTTGACTGGTTGTATAGTGTTGACTGGTTGTATAGTGTTGACTGGTTGTATGTGTAGTTGACTGGTTGTATAGTGTTGACTGGTTGTATAGTGTTGAATGGTTGTATAGTGTTGACTGGTTGTATGGTGTTGACTGGTTGTATAGTGTTGACTGGTTGCAGTGTTGACTGGTTGTAGTGTTGCCTGGGTGTATAGTGTTGACTGGTTGTATGGAGTTGACTGGTTGTATAGCGTTGACTGGCTGTATAGTGTTGACTGGTTGTGTAGTCTTTACTGGTTGTATAGTGTTGACTGGTTGTACAGTGTTGACTGGTTGTGTAGTGTTGACTGGTTGTATAGTGTTGACTGGTTGTATAGTGTTGACTGGTTGTATGGTGTTGACTGGTTGTATAGTGTTGACTGGTTGCAGTGTTGACTGGTTGTGTAGTGTTGACTGGTTGTACAGTGTTGACTGGTTGTATAGTGTTGACTGGTTGTATAGTGTTGACTGGTTATACAGTGTTGACTGGTTGTATAGTGTTGACTGGTTGTATAGTGTTGACTGGTTGTACAGTGTTGACTGGTTGTAGTGTTGACTGGTTGTATAGTGTTGACTGGTTGCATAGTGTTGACTGGTTGTACAGTGCTGGCTGGTTGTATAGTGTTGACTGGTTGAATAGTGTTGACTGGTTGTACAGTGTTGACTGGTTGTACAGTGTTGACTGGTTGTATAGTGTTGACTGGTTGTATAGTGTTGACTGGTTGTACAGTGTTGACTGGTTGTACAGTGTTGACTGGTTGTATAGTGTTGACTGGTTGTATAGTGTTGACTGGTTGTATAGTGTTGACAGGTAGTATAGTGTCGACTGGTTGTATAGTGTTGACTGGTTGTATAGTGTTGACTGGTTGTACGGTGTTGACTGGTTGTATAGCGTTGACTGGCTGTATAGTGTTGCTGGTTGTATAGTGTTGACTGGTTGTGTAGTGTTGACTGGTTGTATATGTGTTGACTGGTTGTACAGTGTTGACTGGTTGTGTAGTATTGACTGGTTGTATAGTGTTGGCTGGTTGTATAATGTTGACTGGTTGTATGGTGTTTACTGGTTGTATAGTGTTGACTGGTTGCACAGTGTTGACTGGTTGTGTAGTGTTGACTGGTTGTACAGTGTTGACTGGTTGTATAGTGTTGACTGGTTGTATAGTGTTGACTGGTTGTATAGTGTTGACTGGTTGTACAGTGTTGACTGGTTGTATAGTGTTGACTGGTTGTATAGTGTTGACTGGTTGTACAGTGTTGACTGGTTGTAGTGTTGACTGGTTGTATAGTGCTGACTGGTTGCATAGTGTTGACTGGTTGTACAGTGCTGGCTGGTTGTATAGTGTTGACTGGTTGAATAGTGTTGACTGGTTGTATAGTGTTGACTGGTTGTACAGTGTTGACTGGTTGTACAGTGTTGACTGTACAGTGTTGACTGGTTGTATAGTGTTGACTGGTTGTATAGTGTTGACTGGTTGTACAGTGTTGACTGGTTGTATAGTGTTGACTGGTTGTATAGTGTTGACTGGTTGTATAGTGTTGACTGGTTGTATAGTGTTGACTGGTTGTATAGTGTTGGCTGGTTGTATAGTGTTGATTGGTTGTATAGTGTTGACTGGTAGTATAGTGTTGACTGGTAGTATAGTGTCGACTGGTTGTATAGTGTTGACTGTTTGTATAGTGTTGACTGGTTGTAATAGTGTTGACTGGTTGTATAGTGTTGATTGGTTGTATAGTGTTGACTGGTAGTATAGTGTTGACTGGTTGTATAGTGTTGACTGGTTGTATATTGTTGACTGGTTGTATAGTGTTGACTGGTTGTAGTGTTGACTGGTTGTATAGTGTTGACTGGTTGTATAGTGTTGACTGGTTGTATAGTGTTGACTGGTTGTATAGTATATGACTGGTTGTATAGTGTGACTGGTTGTATAGTGGTTGACTGATTGTACAGTGTTGTACTGGTTGTATAGTGTTGACTGGTTGTACAGTGTTGACTGGTTGTAGTGTTGACTGGTTGTAGTGTTGACTGGGTGTATAGTGTTGACTGGTTGTACAGTGTTGACTGGTTGTACAGTGCTGACTGGTTGTATAGTGTTGACTGGTTGTATAGTGTTGACTGGTTGTATAGTGTTGACTGATTGTACAGTGTTGACTGGTTGTATTGTGTTGACTGGTTGTATAGTGTTGACTGGTTGCAGTGTTGACTGGTTGTAGTGTTGACTCTGTGTATAGTGTTGACTGGTTGTACAGTGTTGACTGGTTGTAGTGTTGACTCTGTGTATAGTGTTGACTGGTTGTATAGTGTTGACTGGTTGTATAGTGTTGACTGGTTGTATAGTGTTGACTGGTTGTATAGTGTTGACTGGTTGTATAGCGTTGACTGGTTGTACAGTGTTGACTGGTTGTACAGTGCTGACTGGTTGTATAGTGTTGACTGGTTGTATAGTGTTGACTGGTTGTATAGTGTTGACTGATTGTACAGTGTTG